ATAGAATTGAGAATATAAGATAGAAGTAGAACTGGGATATTCACCTGCACAAGCTTTTTACACATAGCTTGCCAAAATCAAGAATGATAATCATGATATTAAACGGAATAAGAAAATATCCATGAAGAATATGATGACATAAGAGAGGAAGTCTGAAAATGTAATAACTTACACGGAAGAACATATCCCAAAGCTTCTCGAAAGGAAGTGAACTTGGAGTTAAGAACATGAATGTAATTTTAGACTTTTCCGATAGAACAGTAGGAATATTCAAAATATCTCTAATCACAACCTGTGATGCAATCTCCTCATCACTTGATTCCCTTGTAGGTGAGGGTGGAAGCCAATTAGTAAAGACCTTGCAACCTCTAGAAGAAAATACATAACAAGTAGCATTGCCTTGCGGTGGATAGATGTAAGCACAAACTAGAAAAAGGCTAACTAAAGAAAAGAAGAAAATAATCCATATTGGCCTCTTCAATGGAGGGCAGTGGCGAGATCCAGGCAAGATTTGCATATCACCCATGCTGTCTGGTCACCACGCCTGAGCTCCCTGCATCTAGTACAAACACCACAACTTTATATTCATATAATTATTTCTGTTTCCAAGTTCTCTAAACGAATATGAAAGTTACAATTCAACAACCAACCACAGGTTATTCAATCCGTCAATTGAGTGTGATCTGAGAAAGGGAACCACAGGGGAAAGCATTAGAAATACTAAGTTTGTGAAACAAAATATCTGTAAGACATAAAACAAAACTTGGTCGAAGGCTGAAATACCAAGAACAGCAAAAAAAAACCGATCAATCCTTAGCCCTAAAACTTCGGTAATGAAAATATAATTAAAACAAATTAAATAAACCCTGTAAAGTCAAGCTTATGTTCTACGCGTTTCAAAATAAACAAAAAACCAGAATACAAGTTTTACCGTTCTTTTAGTGGGTAATAATCAAACCGCTCGAGAGCGAAAATTCTTCCAACTGATTCGACACAGATAGCAATAATTTAAGAAAGAAATGAAAAGTTCTGGATTCGCCTAATTACTAAAATCAAACACAGTCAACTTTCTTCCAAGAAAGAATCATAAAGAACAAAACTATGTCGACAACAAATAAACCACTTCATATTTCTAAACTAGAAATACACCTACAGTACTGAAATTTCAAACCAAAACAAGGGAAGAATTCGATGTAACTAATCAATGCACCTACAGATCTGTTCCGGACATCAGAAGTCCCCTCATCAGCTCGACTTCGCTTAGTTTTGGGACGAATTTCTTCAAAATCATCTGGAGAGCCCTCTCTCTCCGCTGGGGAGGGACTCCTATCACTTCCATCGCTGCTCATATCTTCGTTCTCCCCGTTGTCACCGTTTACCTTGCTAGGCTCCTCTCTGGCGACTCCAGTATCAGCCCTAGCCCGTTTCTACACACACACAAATTTCACCAAAATCAGGTTAGTTGATATACTACACAAATGGAATTGACATGGCGGAGAGAGAGACTGAAATGGAGATTTGATAAATACGTGGGGGCGAGTAGTGATTTCGGAGCTTGAAAACACGAATGCCATTATAATTTGGGAATTTAAAAATTACCTCGACGAGGGAGATAAAACTTTTAAAATTTGTAGTGTTTTAAATCCAAAAGTCATTATATATGAACCATATTACGGTATTTTCTTACAAATGTCGTTAAAGTACTACTCTATTACGATATTTGTTGGGAACGCTAATTAATACTATTGCGATTTGTATAAAAACGTCGCTAAAGTACTATTCTTTTGCGGCGTTTGTTGAAAAAACGCCACTATAGATTAAACATATTGTGGCGTTTGTATAAAAATGCCGCTAAAGTACTACTCTATTGCGGCATTTATTGAAAAACGTCACTATAGATGAACCCTATTACGGTATTTTTCTATAAACACCGCTAAAATTACCATTTTGTGGCGTTTGAAATGTAAATACCGCTATATATTTGAAGTTAGTGGCGTTTACTCTCAAAACGCAACAATTTTACTGTAGTACCTACTTTTTATCTTCATAATTTAGGCCTTAATTTTTTCAATCTCACATTTTTACATTTATAATTGATGACCTTAAATTTTTCAATCTCACTTTGTACCTTTATAATTGAGCTCCTAATTTTTTTCAATCTCACTTTCTACCTTTATAATTGAGCTCCTAATTTTTTCAGTTTCACTTTCTACATTTATAATTGAGACCTCTAATTTTTTAATCTCACTTTTTACCTTTATAATAGATGTCCTTAATTTTTTTCAATCCCATTTTTTACTTGTATAATTTAGGCCCCTAATTTTTTTAATCTCACTTTTTACCTTTAAAATTGAGGCCCCTATTTTTTTATTCGCACTTTTTTTACTTTATAATTGATGTCCTTAATTTTTTTCAATAATACCTTTTGCTTTTATAGTTTGAGCCCTAATTTAATCATTTTTGTATGATTTATTAATGTAATATTAAATAATTTTTCAAAGTAATAAAAACATATTTTCATTTTATGGTCTATATTTTAGTTTAGCTCAGTGCCATGAAAATGTATGAGACGACTTTGCTTAAGAGTATTAAACCATTAAAGTAGATCCTAAATTTTGTTAATTGTTTGGATAGATTTTATATGTTTTTTTAAATATTAGTTGATACAATATTAAAAAATGAATTTAAGATTTGTATATTTAATCTAAATGTAATATTCTTTTCACATTTATAATTCAATGATTATATAAATAATTTTGAACTAAATATTTTTAATTTTATTAATAATTTTGTTTTTATAATTAATAATTCAATTAAAAATATTCAATTTAAGATTATAAAGAAACATTAAATTTAATTTATAAAATATATAAATCTTAAATTTTATTTTTTTAATCTTGTACTAACTAAGTTATAAAATATATGCAATTGATATCCAAATTTAAGATTTGCTTTAATGCTCTAATATGTCAATGCTATCAATCTGTATGCTATCTTGTATTGCATAACACAATTGTTTAAGTTGGTTCAGTGACAAAAGTCGGTGTTTACATTCCCGTGAACCTGGGTTCAATTCCCTTATCTCATGTTGATATTGTTTGGGATTTTTCTACTTGTTTTTCCATCTAATAATATGCTAACACTTGCCACCATCTGAGTGGTAGAAAAATAATTAAATTAAAAAAATTTAAAATCTAAAAAATCTCTAATAAGATGTTAACACATATCACAATTTGATTAGAGGATTAAATTTATTGAATTAAATTAAAATTAGGACCAAATTGATAGAATATATAACTATTGAGGACTACATATATAGTTATATCAATTTTATTAATTGTCACGCCAATATATCTGTTAAAAATTAACGAAAGATGGCTTAATTGAATATAATTAAATAGTTAAGTGCTCTGATTGATAAAATTAAAATATTAATAATAAAAATAGAAAGGGTTAAATAGTTGAGTGATCAATGTTATAGTTTACCATTAAAGAATTTACCTTTAAATTTTAACTAATATATAATTCTAGGTTGAATATTTTATAATTTTAACATTTTATAAATTAATTTATCAGTACTTATAGTTAGTGATGTTCATTGCTGCATGTCAAGCGTGGTCAATTTTTTTATAATTGGATTTTATTTAATAAATAAAGAAGGAGAGGTATACGGTATACCTTCTACGAGGGAAAGTGGGAAACATATTAAAATATTGTTTTTTCTTTTTCATTTTTTTTTCAACTTTCAAGACATATTTTACAATTTAAAAAAAGGAATATATATTATGTTATGATCTTATAGTATCTGTCAATTTTTTTATTTGGATAAACTTACACATATAACAAAAAAATATTACTCGAATTCTAATTACTTATAAAATCTATGATATGACATTTTTTTATCATTAAGACGAATACTTAAATTTAAACCATATAATTTTTTTTAAAATAATGTGTGGTAATTATAAGATAATATTGATTTAGAATTTTTCTTAATAATTGACAACGTACATACACTTTACAAATATACTACCGAACTCGAAACTTTCAAGAAGAACAACCTTCACTTTTAACAAAAGAGGTTGTCTGATTCTTTTTTATGATTATCGCCAATGACACCAATTTTTTTTTGATATGTTATAGTTTTAATCATAATCTTACGTAGAGGAGATGAAAATAGGGACTTTAGAAGAAAAAGGAAAAGTATTTTTTGTGAGTCTAGAATTCGTGACTTAAAGAATTAAATGGGAACAAAGATAAATAATTTAGACAATCGACCAATGTAATTGCTCATTTTTAAATAAAACAAACATAAAAGCGATATATAAGTTATTTTCATGGAATACACCAATCTTGGAATTAAAAGACTAGTATCCCCTAATGATTGTATTTAAGTCCAGCTAGTGAGAAGTTAGAGTTCGAATTTAACTTAAAATTCTTAAAATTTGGTTTGATTTCAATCGAAAACACCAAGTTAAATAAAAATTATAATTTTGTTCATATATATAATTCATGTATATATGTTTAAGTTTAAATTCAAAACTAAATTTGATTTATATATAATTGATTATAAGGTGATATTTGTTCAAAATCTTTCTTAATCATTGATAACACACACCCTACATCTTGTTCAAACCTAAACTTTTAAGAAAAACAATATTCTTTTTAACTACTTAGTACACTTGATAAGTTAAGTTATAATTTGAACTTTAAGTTTATACATATTAAGAATAAAATAGCATAATATTAATAACACATCAAAATTTTTAAAATCACACACAATTATACCCTAGAATTTTAGCCCAAATTGAAAACCCTAGAATTTGGGAATTTCTACTTTAAATCCATAATTTGAGATCGGTGACTAATTTGTAAAATAATATAAAGTAGAAGCAATGTCGTAAACTCTAAATAAAAAGAGGATCTAGAAAGTAGTTAACCCAATCTCAATTTAACTTGGATTCTAACTCTCTCTGTTAAACAGCGCGACGCCATTCTTCTTCATTTTTCCTTCGTTTTCTCAAACCCTTGCGCTGCTCACCCTTTTAGTCTTCGCTGCTTCCGTTCATACCTCACCGTCATCGTTTGTCGTCGAGGTAAGACCGTTGGTCACGTTACACCTGATTTCTTGATCGACGAACACCGCCGGTTTTGTAATTTGTAATCTAAACCGCCAGCCGAAATTTGCTTCGTTCCCGTCACTTCTCCGCCGCCGTAGGGGTTCTTTTCGGCCGTTCAAGGCCACCTTGAGACCGGGTTATCGTCGGGGAAGGCCTAACCGACCTCGGTTGCGGCTGAACAACCCCGTTTTCGTCATAAAACCACTGCTGCCTCTTTCCGGAAACACTGTCTCCGGCCGTTTAAGGCCACGGCAAGGCTGGCCGTGAGATCCTCGACCTTTGGGACTGCTGTCAGTGTGTAGACTTCCCTTTTGGTTATTCTGGCAGTCCTTTAATCGAATTGAAACCTTGTTGTCTTTTTTCTCGTTTCGAATTGGAAATAATTATAATTATCGTTTTATCGTCATTTTATCGTGTAATATTTGAGAAAGTGTTGATTTAGGATTTGATACGAATGTCGTATTTTTGCAGCAGTTATCGAACTGTAATCAGAATTACCGTCCCCTTCGCCTTTGCTGTTATTTTTGAAATGACTCGAATTACAAGAACGTCCGTAAGTGTAGCTTGTACTTTGACTTAGATTTAGTTCGTTAAATTAGGTTAATAAAATTATTATTGGATTATTTTGTAGGAGCGGATTCAGTTTGACCCATTGTTTGAGCTGACCATGGGAGTTAATACGATCTTCGTTGGCTGTTTTGTCGAGGTGTGTAATATTTTGCTTTCGGATCGGATAAAAAATCAGATATGTATATCATTTTGCATGTCATATTGGGATGAATTTTGATAGGGAAGTTCAGTGCATTCAATCGACGGGGTGAATGTCACTTTTAGATTCTGAGGTCTCTGTCTTTGTGATGGACCTCACTTTAGATGGTGTGATTATAGTTTGAGTGGTTCTGGGGAACCCACTCTTCGGATGGTGTGACATGTGTACGGATCATAATCATTTACATAGCATCCAAATTATGTTTCTCACTGATTGATTCGTAATTATGATTATTGTTAGTCTATTCGGACTATCTTTTGAACTTGTTTGTTTGATTGCACTTTAGAGATGCACTAAGTTTTATAATTTATCCCTTAGTTTAAAAAGGCGCAAGGCGCAAAGGGTTCTTGGAACCTAGGCGTAAGGAGCATGGCGAAGGCGCGTGCCTTTCGTAGGCGAGGCGTACTTCTGTAGATTCGACCTAATTTTTTTTAAGTTGTGTTTAAGGGTTACGTGCTAGTTGCTTGAAACTCGAGATCACACTTAATCAGACAATAAATTATCATATTCAAATTTGTTGAATCAAAGTTAATAATTTATAGTACAAATATTTTATTACAATGACTACATCAATGCCTTCCTTTGCCGCTACCTCTTGCTTAAATAATAGTCCTATGAATTAAACATGTGGTGACAGACTGTGAGATAATTAAGTGATTAAAACCCCAAACTCAAAACTAAAAATAATATCATTGGTCAAATTTTCTTCTCTTAAAACATTATCTTTATGGATTCCTGCATCTTAACATAGCAATGAACGAGTCAATGGAGGCTCAATGCTGCCGCCACCTTTTTATTCCACTCTTCCTTTATTCATCCATTTATTCATTTCAAACATCGCCATAAAGACATTGTAAAAATCACTCTATGTTTCAGTTCAAAGGCCTGCAAAATACGCCAAGCAGCTTAAAGTCTCATCTGAAGATAAAGCCAAGCCAACTGGTGAAGTTGTGTAAGAAAAGCGGGAAATTTTGGATGCCCTAATCTCGTACGAAATGAACACAGTCGAAAACCAAAGCGAAGCTCCATTCATCAAAGCTTTGGTCCTCTCTTCAACCTCACGGAAATCCACTTATGGTTTTACTTCTTTCCCTCCTTTTTACCCATCTTTTCTTTCTGCTGATAATTAGAGATGAATTGTTAAAGACTTTAGTTAACTTCAAACTCAACCCCTTCTTTTCTTATGCAGGGACGATGATTTCACGGAGTTCGGGATTTTTCTTTCTTATCTGACAGCAATGTAATTTCTCTTCTCTAACTCTTTTCTTTCTTTTAATTTCTTTTTTGGGTCACCCTTTTATATGTTTATTATTAGTATTTAAATGCAGAAATCATCTCGACAAAACGATAAGAACCGCTCAAGAACTTTTCACGCAACCTGTGGCAAGTGCTCTGCAATTTATTTTTGAACTTTTCTCAAGCTTTCTTGGTGTTAGTTTTAGTTATTTGTATTGGTAGTGGGGTATAACTTGGATGTTGTGGTATGCCTAGAGTGTTTTATTGATCGATGCCTTCTTTTCTTTGGGTCTGTTTTATGGTTGGTTCAGATTTCAGCATTTCACCTTATGATATTGAACTGGCTAAAGAAATGGATGCCTTGGGCCTTCCACTGTCCTTCCAATCCAAGCATGTAAATCCAAAATACTTCTAGTACCTTTACTTTTTTCTATTGTGTTGCACATAGATATTAAATCAGTGTATTTTTTCCCTATCCTTGATAAAATTTTCATGAGTTCTTGAATAATTTGAAGTTTTGGGAAAAGTGGTAAGTATTTGTTTGCTGTAATTATAAGACACATATTTGAAGTTGGTGATGGTCATTACTTCTTTAAAGAGGCCTATTGATGATTTTAGTTTTCTGCCAGACAAGGAGTAAAATGACAAGAAGCAGAAAGAAGGGTACACTTCCAAAGAGTTCTTTTGGTCATAAAAACACTGAAGAAGCACTGGAATTTTCTGAAGTGACTGAGATGAAGATTGAATCTCCTTCAATTTTATATGATACCTCATGCAGATCTTTTTCTTGCATGTCAATTTTGGGTCAAAGTCAATCATCCTATCATGATGTTGAAGTGGCTGTTGCTGAATCTCTATGCCCCAATCATAAGCAAGAAGGTATCAGGCTTGGCTGGGACGATTTGTGGGTCTGCCATGGAACAAAACTGTAATGAAAGTCCTGACCTTGTAACTAATGATGATCAGGAATATAACTTCACACAGCAGAATGATATTATGTCTAAGGATGATGAGAAAAATACAGTGAACTCAACTAGTTTAGGTGAACTTATACCAGATTGCTGCTTGATGGGAGCAGGTGTTGACCATTTTAATAACAGTGATGAGCGAAGCTTGATGGAGCATCAATGTTTTGAATGTTCCTCTGGGACTCACTGCAATGAAAAGGTTGATAAGGTTTATACTTATAACAGCACTCAGCAGCTGCTTGTTCCTGAGTCATGTTCAACAAGTACTGGAGTGCTCGATTGTGATTTTAATGACCAGACATATGGTGGTGTTTTTGGTGGTTGGAGGTGTTCTGGGACACTTTCTTCTCAAGGAACTACTTCTATAATATTAAAACTCAAGCTTCTACATGGGACCCACCCGAAGGCATGGAAAATCTAGTATTTGATAACCTTAATGATAAGTCAAATGAAACGGCTACAGACTTCATTCAGAAATACATACGCGATGATGGATTAGAAAAACTGCTGTCTGGTGAGCTTTCAGTTGGAATCAAACTTGCGTCTGCTTTGAGTTTGACAACCCCTTCTGTAAGCAAAAGTTTTGAGCTTGCAGGTGAAAATTGCGAGACCAGTGGTGGTTGCGATGGTGATGGTGAAGCTACATTTAACTTAATATCAGATGTTCAGGACAATCTTGGCAGGTTAATATTTCCCCTTTTTAACGCACTTTAAGTTTTGGGTTTATTGTGGACCTGCAGTTGTTTTCTGAAAGTCTCATTTCACTTCATTATCTTGCAAAACTGAAATTTTGCAGCTTCATTTATATTTGTAATGGCTGAGGAACATGCTTTCAACAGTTTGGTTCTCATTGCAGTTGCAGATATGAAACATCTAATATTTTTGGGGGTACACGTAAACTGATAACCATATGAATGCAAAGTCAATAGGTCCCAGTTAATTATGGATTCTACAATGAGCATGCTCTTAATTGTGTCCATTTTTGGGTTTCTGACATTTAAATTTGCTGTCAGTGTGACCAAGACACCCATTGAAACAATATGTGATGCTGATGATATTGCTTTAGAAACCATTGCTTTAGCAACAGACCAGGTGGATACCCTGCTTGCGGCTGCTACTATTAAAGGGAAAAAGAAAACAAGAAGACGATCTCAGAGGAAATTGTCTCGGAATGATGGTCTATAATTCAATTTTTGTTCTTATTTATCAATTGACTAGTTATAGCAATTGCATAAAGTTTTCTTTTAGTTGGATTAGAATTTGAATTGTTGTTTCTATGTACAGAACTTCAATTCCAAGGAATGTCTGAGGTGTACTCTGCCATTATTAGTAAATATTGGTGTCAGAGATATCTACTATTCTCCAGATTCGATGAGGGTATTAAAATGGATGAGGAAGGATGGTTTTCTGTAACTCCAGAGCTTATTGCTAGGCATCATGCATCCCGTTGTGGGAGTGGCATTGTTGTTGACTCTTTTACTGGAGTTGGTGGGAATGCCATTCAATTGTCCAAGAGGTGTGTGTCACAGTCGGAGGATATGAGCGTGGAAATGAAGAAGGAATTGGGGAAAGAAGAAGTCAAGGGTTGGGGATTGAGGCACGAGATGGGATTGAAAATGAGGAATTGGGGAAAGAAGAAGTCAAGGGTTGGGGATTGAGGCACGAGATGAGATTGAAAATGGGGAATTAGGGATTGAAGCACGAGAAGGGGGAATGATGTACTTACCCTCTTATGTGGAGCAACCTGTGTACCCGGTTTAGGTAGAGTTGGATTTGCCCGAGTCTTCAGTCCAGGAAGAGTTGGAGCAGCTCAAGTCATGTGGCCCAATAACCTGCAAAGAGAAAGAAGATAAGCTTAGTCTGTTATAAACTGTTAGAAAGGACAGCCAACTGGCATCCTTTCCAATTTTCGTTTTTAGCCCTGTAACTAAATAATACTGGCTGTAGAGGCATTTAATTCCTCAAGTTATGAATGAAGTATTTTCTTTTCTCTGAATTCTCTATTTCTCTATTACCTTCTTCTCGAATCCTTTATATTTCACCTAAATTATAACAATTGGTATTCAGAGCCTCGATTTCTGGCAAAATCAGTGGGCATGACATGAAGAATCAGAATATGAAAACTCATTTATCTGGTCTGCAAAAACAGATAGAAGAATTAACAACGTTGGTGAAACAAGGTCAAGAGGAGACTAATCCACCTAAATGGTGGGAAACGCAAGAAAACAGAATCATTGCACTGGAGTCTAGAATGGCCACGAATCAATGATATGTTGAGGAACTTTTGAAGATTTTGACTGGTAGAAAGGAAGACCAGAACCAGTCTGCTGATGACTAGGTACAGACTCCTAATTCATCTAATATGAGTGGCAAACAACCTGTTAAGGTAACAGTGATTAATGATAAGACTAGGTTTACTTGTAAACCTGATGAACCTGGAATTCTCAAGTCTAAACCAGATGATTTACCTGTTCATCTGACTAGTTTTAAAAATGACAACCAAATGGATGAGAACAGTGTTGTTATAAATAATTTAATGGCCTTAGAGGTGGATAAAAGAGGCACAGGGGGGTCTTCTAATACTTCAGGAGCAATGTGGCATAGACTAAAAATTGAGCTACCATTTTTTGAAGGAATTAATCCACAAGGGTGGATACAAAAATGTCTTAAATACTTTTCTCTTTGTAGTATTGTTGATGAGCAAAGAGTGGAGGTTACTACAATGTATTTAATAGGTAAGGCTGAAATCTGGTTTGATGGTTACATTATGCAAAAACATCATGTGACATGGCATGAGTTTGAGGCAGACCTGTGTCATAGGTTCAGTGACAGATTCTTGGCTGATATAGTGGAGGAGTTTACAAAATTAGTACAAAAGGGGTCTGTGGAAGAGTATCAAGACAAATTTGAAGAATTACAACCACTTATGCTCTTATAAAATCCTACTTTTTGGGAAAATTTCTTTGTTTCTTTGTTTATTAGTGGGTTAAGAGATGATATTAAACACAAAGTCAAGGCTTTGGACCCTAAGTCACTTTCTAAGGCATGTAGGCAAGCTAAATTATATGAGTTGTCTGTGGAGTTTGAGAACAAAAGATTGAGATCATCCTTCAGAAATCCACCTTACCTAAACCCTCTATCTACTCAAAAGCTAAATCAGCTACCAGTACAACATAAGAATTCAACCAGTATACCACCAAAACAGAACCTAATAGACCACAGAAGATAAAACAATTTATGTTATAAGTGTGGAAAAAAAATTGCTCCATGTCATCAGTGCAAAACAAAGCAATTGAATATGATGATTGAGGATGACACTGTTCTACCTTCAGAAATTTTACCAATAGATTCAAAGCAACAAATTATGCAAGAAGATGAGAGACTAGAAATATCTATGAATGCTATTATTGGATGCACTGGTCATAATACAATGAGGATTCAGGGAACAATTCAAGGTAGACCATTAAACATATTGATTGACAGTGGTAGTACCCACAGTTTTTTAACACTTCAGTGGGCTGATGCTGGTATACAAGTAATCACTCCTCATCCTTTGGCTATTATAGTAGCTAATGGACAACAACTCTACAGTTCAGCAAGGTGTAATGAGGTAGAATGGAAGATGCAAGGGCATTCTTTTATACATGATTTTAGACTACTTCAATTGGGGGAAGTGATATGGTGTTAGGTGTGGATTGGATGAAATTGTTTAGTCCAATCTTGATGGACTTCAATAACATGACACTGAGTTTTGTGCATAAAGGGGAGCAAATTGTTATACGGGGTCAACGATAATCAAATTTTTTGCAATAGATTTCAGGAGCTACACTATTGAAGATGACAGCTCCTGATTCACCTATTTTGGGACGTGTAGTATTATTCACTATGTCTGAGGGTTCAAAGACTATTCCTACAGCTATCCAGCCTCTCTTGGAACAATATCACTTTATTTTTGCTGAGCTTACAGGTCTACCACCTACAAGGAACCATGACCATGCTATTCCTCTTAAACCTAAAGCTTCTCCTATTAATTTAAGACCCTACAATTTCCCCATAATCAGAAAGCTGAAGTAGAAAAACAGATTGCTAATATGCTCTCCTCCTCTATTATTCAACCAAGCAAAAGTCCATTTGCTTCTTCATGTCTTTTAGTAAAAAAAAAGGATGATACTTGGAGGTTTTGTATAGATTACAAGAAGCTAAACAGTATGACAGTAAAGGATAAATTTCCTATTCCTGTTGTGGAGGATCTATTGGATGAATTACATGGAGCAGTCTATTTTTCAAAAATTGATTTAAGGTCTGGTTATTGGCAAATCAGAATTAAGCCTGAGGATATATACAAGACAATATTCAAAACTCATCAGAGCCATTATGAATTCAAGGTAATGCCCTTACTAATGCCCCTGCTACATTTCAAGCTCTAATGAATGAATTGTTTAGTTTATTTCTAAGAAAATTTGTCTCGGTATTTTTTGATGATATCCTAGTCTATAGTACCTCTATGGCTGATCATATTATTCATTTACAATTAGTTTTGGTAGTCTTGAAAACTAATTAGTTATTTGCCAAGATGTCCAAATGTTTCTTTGGACAGACTCAAGTAGAGTATTTGGGCCATATTATTTCAGCTTCTGGGTATCTATTGATCCTACTAAAGTGGCAGCTATGAAGAATTGGCTTGTGCCAAAAATTTTAAAATCTTTGCGTGGATTTTTGGGATTAACAGGTTATTACAAAAGTTTTATAAAGGATTATGGTACAATTAGTAAACCCTAGACACAGATGCTTAAGAAAGACAGTTTTAAGTGGACTATTGATGATTTAATTGCTTTTGAAAATCTGAAGCATGATGTAACACCCTCAACCCGTATCCGACCCGGATACAAGTCTGAGGTGTCACATTGACTTTTCAAACTTTAATCTTTTAACGAAAACCAATGAAATTTAAAACTTTTATTAAAATAACATTGTCACTGCACACGAGTTAACCAAAACAAGACAAAACTAATCAGAGCATTTGAACTAACACTGTTCTTACATGCCAACACACTACATACAACAAAATACCTACTGTGACTTTACTTCTGATCTGATCGCTGAGTAGAGATAGGTTGATCTGCAAATTCCTATTCTTGATTCTCCTGCTCTTCGAAACCTACGTGTAAAAACACTTACACGCTAAGTCATAGACTTAGTGAGGCATAATTACATAATAAAGAATTATTAAAATATAAACATGTCGTCTACTATCCAAACACAATTATACTATCATACCATCATTTATTATACCACATATGAGCCAATATAAATCGTAATAATACCATATTAAGATACAACTATATACATCCTCGTTATGTCTTATTTAAGCCCATATACACTATTAAGAACCCAAGGTATACGAGTATTATGAGATTGTGCACACGTATGCTGTCCCCACAGCTCCATGAATTTTCCGAAGGACCTATCCAGAGGTCATAAAGATCCTCGGTAACTGTCCAGAGATCATAAAGATCCTCGGTAACTATCCAGAGGTCATAAAGATCTCGGTAACTGTCCAGAGGTCATAAAGATCCTCGGTAACTGTCCAGAGGTCATAAAGATCCTCGGTAACTATCCAGAGGTCATAAAGATCCTCGGTAACTATTCAGAGGTCATAAAGATCCTCGGTAACTGTCCATAGGTCCCGAAGAACCTAGGTAAACTATCCATATGTTCCTTAGAACATAGGTATACTGTCCATATGTCTCGAAAGACATATGTAGTTCTTTGACTCTTGGCATACCAACTATACTTACAGTTCTCATAACTCATATCATGGCATTGTCTTTACCTTATTACATATTCATACATCATATCACATTTTTCTTTTTCTATAGCTCTTTATCACATGTTCATATGATCATCTTATTACCTATACCTTCTCATATAACCATTACATACATACATACATGTCATCCCTCATATGATTTCATATTCATATTCTGTATATTTCATATTCTTTCTTATGTCATTTTCATACTTCTTATTTCATATTCTTATGAAATCATATTGATCATTTTAACTATTTCACATATTTAACACATTTATCTACATATTTACACAACTCATAATAATATATATATATATATATATTGTAACATGTCAATACATATGCGCATTCATACATATAAACCATAACAAACACAGCACACACACTTCATATACCTAATATAGATATCTCGTAACTCATTCATATATAAGCTCTAATCTGGAACATAGACTTACCACAATCTGCATAGTATATCCCATAATGTATATGGTATGAATTCATATCATATTTAATAATATTGAATGAATCATGTATCAAGATATTAAATCTAGACTTATCGCAGTTCTAAAACTGAATATACTAACATAATCCTGTTATGCACATGCACTCACCTTAGCCTTGTTTGAATTGAATCAATTCTAACCCTTCGTTTACTTTGAAGCAAAGTCACGTTCAATATCTACATAAGCATAATTTTCAAGATGATTATCAGATGCCCAAGTCTTGAAATTAACCTCTAATATCCTACCAATTTAAGGGATTAATAGTTTAGTCTCTCTTCTTTCTTCTTTTTTTTTCATTATGGGGGAATCGGTTCCCCCCCTGGGGGTATCGATTCCCCTCTAGCATTCTGGAAATTCATACTCGTTTGAGGGGGGATCGATTCCCCTTGAATGGGTACCGATTCCCCTAGCCCAGAAATCTCATTTTGAGCTCGAAAATCACCTTATTTCAGCTCAAACCTTCCTATTTCACTTCCTTTAATACTCCTAACTTTAATACACATACTTAAACTTATTCCTATTCCCTAATCACTTCTTTAACTTCAAATCTAGTCATTCCTATGTAATTGCAAAAATTATACTAGTTTTGCAACATGTTCAAATTCCTATTCTAACACTTTTTCTATCCCT